TCTTATGTGCCATCTGATAGATTTTTCGCACCATAAGATGGTGCAATCAGGTTTTCTGAAGACTTATTTTAATTTTTGAGCGACTGGAGTAGAACACCGAATCGAGAGAAATGAGCATTTCTGGCACTCCCCCTTTTGCATTTAATCAAAAAACTGAAGCCCCAAAACTTCTTGGGTATGTGGCAAGAGAATCGTAATTCGCCGCGCCAGTGGGCGTCGCGTGCGACGTCGCGCCCGCTAATGACGACGATTTTAGGTGGTATTGGTCGAGAACAGACAATGTATGACCAAAAATAGACATAAGTGTCTATGTCCGTCTACATGAAATCCGATGCTCAAGTCGAAAGGTAGTGCAAACTAAGGAAACGTCGCGCCCATTGCCGCGCGCGACGAAGCGGCAATTAACGATTCTCCTGTTCGTCTCCCAAACTTTTTTTTCGAAGTGGAGAAGAAGAACTGACACATGAGAAAGTGACCATCTCTTAGAGATGCCTTAAAATAGTCAACAAGGTTCTGAGACATGACCCAGCTCTTCTTACTTCACAGCTTGTTCACGCATGCGCACGCCAGATAATGTAGAATTATTAAAGCTTATAGAGTCCAACTAGTCGTGAAATGGACGTGGAAAATTCTGAGCAGGGCACATCATTAGTTGGGGATTTTGGTCGGGTCCACACAACCCTCCCCCCTAGAAAGTGAGTTGATACCACCCTGGGGGAGTGGGGGGAGGGGAGGGTAAATAGCACATATGAAACAAGAAAACCGTAAGGAAAATACTCTCCCTTCCCGATCCTACCACTTTCTTGAATTTCCCCACTGCTTTTTTTTCGAAATTTTGATAATTTCCCCTCGTTTTTCCCCAAAAATTTCGCTGTCGAGTGGGGTATATAGTACATATGAAGCAGAAAAAACCCATGGAAAGTGAGCAACTTCTCTCAGAAAGCCACAAGGCAAATACGACCCCCCACCCCTTAAAGCCTCCTGAAGCGAAAGAAAGAAAATTGACCATCAAGAAATCCTTTCTCAGACCAAATACGACCCCCCTGTTGGGGCATCCACAACAATTATAAGCCTTGATTCTGAAGCGCTCGAAATATCCACTTTCTGCACCAGTGCGAGCAACATTCTGGAAAGCTTCAACCCATTTGCGACGAGCCGCGTCTTCCAAAAACGGCTCGTTTGACCGGTGTGTTGGCGAGCTCTCGTGAAGTGTTCGAAACAAGCAGTGGACACGTGCCTTTGTGACGAAATACTCAAGAATTTTGACTTTTCTCCTCCGACCAGGGGTATATCACTGGTTGTGGATTTTGATCAAGTCCGTACGACCTTAGTTCCCTCCTCTAATACGATCAAATTGTCTTGCGGTGGAGGGGGGGGGGGGTGTGGTGTGTATGCACACATGTGAAAAAAAAAACGGGAGAAACCACGAAAGGTCAACAACCGGGGAATATTTTTCCCAATGTCGCAAATTTTTCTCAGAAGGCAGGTACGTTCGCCCACCCTCCCTCTCCTAACAACGAGCAAATACGTCCACCTCCTATAGCGTCCGTGAAATAAGTAAAATTAAGAACCAAAAAAAATTTTCCAGGCCAAATACTACCCCCTCTTGTGGAATCCCCAACGATGATACGCCCTGCCTATGACTCATGCTTTTTCTCAGGTGTTTCTGTAAATGTTTGCCCTTATCATACCCATCCCGAGCATGTTCCGTTCCCAGAGTGATTTTCACGGCCCCGATCTTCGGGCGACGTGATCTGGGGCCAGCGTGGTGCTAAATGGCCACTGCGCGCGGGATGGGAAGCTGCATAAACCACTAGAGAAACTGCAGTGTACCTCCCTGTATGCCAAGTAAAGCACCTAAATTTTGATCTTATTCTGCGTTGTTTTTCATGCCTAGTTAAGGAACACGTTATAAATTATACGTACTCAGCTCTACAGCTAAAACAGAGCCGAATAAAATGATCAAATCAGCCTATTCTGTTG